GAGCTAAGTTTTTTGCTATAGTTTCTAAGTCACTTGGTTCTTTAGTCATAGATGTTTCTAGAATGCAATTTAATTCACTGCAGTTTAAGTATCTATGCAGTTTGTTAACCATTCCTTGAACTTGCTAGATTAGGCTTTGTTTGTTGATTATCTCTATTTAATTACTTTATTCGTTTGATCTATTTTTGTATTTTTGTTGTTTGACTATTTATTCTCTAATTTAGTTTTGTATGTGACTTGCTTTTTGTTAATATTTTATGCCGATTGTTGTATATTTCTATATCTGGAACATGGCTGCTTGTTTGTTTTGTTGTTTACTAATTTGATTGATCATGTGTACTTCACAATTTTTTTAGGATAGAGTGATGCTCCACTTTTGCCAAAAAAAAACAGAAAAAAAAATTTTTTCCAGTAACTGAATCGAAGTTTTTCGAATAATTTAGTTTTGGTGAAAGTAATTTTTATATTAAATTAAAGGAAAACCATGTTGAATGAATAAAATCTATAGCCTTTTTAGTACTTTTAAGGAGAATCAGCCAAGTTGATTAGTTTGTACAGATCGTAAATGAAAAATAAACAAAATTTGATCACTCTTTATTTAGGTTGCCAACTTTGTACTAGAAACCAGAACAAATTAAGCCACTTGTGGTTTGGATTTCTGGTAATACTAAGTCTAACAATATTAGATCCAATCTCTTTAAGAAAACTTATATTATTGAAGAGTACTTGTAGTATTATTTTTAGTTTTTTGTCAATTTTGTTTGTTTTGATGATTTGCAGAAGAGAGTATGTATGAGAATTCTTTTCTTTGTTTTATTTTATATTATTTAAAATAATGCAATTTATAATTTAGATTTATTTATTTTATAGTTTGAGCATTTTTCTTTAAAGAAATGACTATCATGATTACTTGTAAAGACTTTCTTCAATTTTGGCTTTAGGATAAGGTGTATTCTTATAATTATAATAGTTATGGGAACTATAAGAATGAATCTTCAGAATATTTGAACGCAGAAAATTTATCGAATAAAATATATTTTTGAATAAGAAGCTTTAGAATTAATGAAGACTAAATATTGTAATCTGCTAAAGATAGAGACAATAATTATTAATATAATCTTATTATTGTGATTAATAGTTATTTATTTATTTAATTTTCTAATTCTATTTTGTTTTTAAGTTCATTTTGATTATTATGCAAATCTCTGATATTTTGTAAAATTTTAGCAACTCATTATTAGTTTTTTGCTGCAACCCACAATACTTTGGATGATCTGAAATATTAATAGAATTTAGCAATAAATTAATAATTGCCAAAAGCCTTTTTTTGGTATATTTTTTTTATCCATGGCCACTGCTTCCTCCTAAGCAGTAATAAATATTGGTTGAGATAAGGAATTTGGCTTACTGTCTCTAAAAGTCTTATTTATAAACATTATTCGCCTTTCGCATACTAAATTACTGAAATTTTTCAGTTTTTCGCTAAGTAGATGTTCTTCTTTAAGGCTTTTAAAAGTGTGATTTTCATCTTGAGGATTTATAAATCCAGTTTGACACATATGAACCCAAAATCGCTGTGATTCTAATGTACAATCTGGATGTATCTGACCTCCTGATGATTTGTTATCCACGTGCCTGATCATTTTAAATAATGTGTGGCATAACTGATTATTATTAAAAATATATATTGTAAGCACAGATGTAATCTTTCTTTTTTTTTAATACAAATGTAATTTTATTAACTTTTATAAATTTCATACAGTTATGCACCGCAATTCTCCAATGTTTTTGCAAAGGTACAGGTGGAATTAAGCCCTTTAAATATTTATTAATCTCCTTGATAATAGCATCAAGGCCTTGATGTTGATTGCTATATCCTGATTGTGAAATAACAGAATATAACTCTATACACTGTTTAATCTTAGGATTTAATCGCATCAATTGTTCTTCATATGTTATCTCAATTAAATGGTATATAGGATGCCTACGACTGGTCTATATCAGTACAAATATGTGCTGAGCAGTACTTACTAATAGTAGTCTATTGTTTCTAATTCCCGTGCAAAATTTAATAACTGCCTGGAGATAAGTAAATGTCTAAAATAATTATTAGTTTAAAGTTTTAGATATATTTAATATTTTATTAAAGATCTTACTTGTTCAAATTTTAATTTATATATGTGATCATTTTGTTTTCTTGCCCAATCTAGATAGTCATCAACCAAGAGATTTTCTGTCACAGCTACATATGGCCATAATAATTCACATGTGACAGCATGTTAGTAGATATTACAAACAGAGTCCCACGATTTGTGATGATCAGTGCACTTTTTAAAAAACCCAAGTTGGTTCTCAGTTCTGTATCCTTAAAGAGAAGTGAATTGTTTAATATCAATCATCCTTAAAAAAAATAGTTATTAAAAATGTAATAATGATTTTTATACAAAATTTATATTACTTTAATAGGAAAAAAAATATTAATACCAATTTAATTCTATAAATGCCTTGAGCATGTTTATTTCTTTATGCAAGGCACCAGGAATCAATATAAGCCATGAAAAGGCTTTTTTATTCTTTTGAGCTTAAGTATAAGGAACACCATCACAGGTAACAGATAGCCATTTTTGCTTTTCTTGATTTATTTTTATGATATCTTGTATGTATTCTAGAACTTTTTTGACATTATCTATCAAGTTAGGATTAACTTCTAATGGGTCCGGTATATACATTTCAGAAATAACAACATTGTGCTCGGGATTTGACTGCTATATAATACTAATGTAATCAAAATTAGAACTAGTTTGTTCATGAACAAATATATAAGGCTTTATTACAAGTGATTTTGATTGAGAAGCTGTATTAATCTGGGTAAACTTGTTAACAGATTCTGCTCATAAAACAGCCAACATGTTTAGTTTTTTATTACATTAGGGCAAGTACATTTTTTATTATTGATATTGGTTGTATTACATTTTTTACACCATTTAGATTGACTTCCGGTGCCTTTTTGATTTTTTATAATTAGATCGATCACATTGATTTTTTTATTTTTTTCAGCAACAAGCTCCTCTAAAATTGAAAATAAGTATATTTTTAATTCTAATTTATGTTCTGCTTGCATTTCAGGTGCAATATAATATAACTTATCATATTGTTTATCAGTTAATGAATCGCAAAGCCAAGAAGAAATTGTAAATTAAGCATGATCATTTTTATTTATATTGAAAGTGATGAAACTTGTAACTGTATGATATATAACTGTGTTATAACCATGGTCAAGATAATTATGTTGACCGCGTTGCTCATTATCGAAAGCTAAAAATAAGAGCCCTTTAGTTAAAGTTCATTTTCAACTGCTAATGATTCTAGCCAATTAACAAATTTTGTATAACTTCCAGAACTAATTAAATAGTTATCAATATTAATAATTGTTTTCGATCATGTGATCGAATATTTGATTCCAGATATAGCTAAATTTATTTCTAATACATAGTTTTTATGTCTCAATTCATATATAGCATTAACAGCAACCATTTTTTTAAAAACCTTTTTATTTGATGTATAAAGATTACAGTTATTACTATCATTATACATAAGAGTATTAATAAAATTCATGAGAACTGGGTTACAGTTAGCTAACCAATTATCAGGTGCAAAGTTTAATAAATTACTAAGTGAAAACCGCTGCCTATTTAAAATCAATGACTCAATATCATCGTAAATGCTTTGGTATTCCTGTTTGGCAATTTGAATTATAGAATCAATTCTTTTTATTTGGGTACTATATCGGTTTTCTTATTTATATTTTAACACATTATTTTGTTCAGTTAATTCTTTATTTATTTTATTGATTTCTTAAACTTGTTTACAACTTTCTATTATATAGTCATACGCATATTCGAATTGTTTTTTAAGGTCTTCCACCTCACTTATTCTCAAATTTAATTGTAATTGAAGTAGATTAATGCGAGCTTCAAGAGTAAATAACATATCATCAGATACTTGAATACCAATCTCATGAGTTTCATTGCTAACTTGTACAGTGATTTCAGCAGTTTGTTTATTAGCTTGTATGCTATTACATACATTTATTTCAATTTTTGTTTCAGCATGCTCTGTATGAGCCTGCTCATTATCTATTTTTTTTTTTCTATTACTATGTTAATTACTAGTACTAGACAAATTTGAACTTAAAAGAAGTTAATGTAAAAAAACAGATGCAATTAATTGATTATAATGTATTTCGTATAAAGAAAAATTTTCTAAATGCATTTGAATTTGAACCAACTCAGAAAAAAAGGTATAATACAATTGAAGACAATTCTTTGGTTTTTCACTATCTGTATGCCATATAATTTGTGATTCCTTCGTTTCACATTCTAACAACCCAATACTCTTATAATTTTTAAAAAAAATGACAAAGACACATGGTAAGTCTTTCGCTTTTGGTTGCTAGTTAGTTGTCACTAATAAAAAAAAAAACTTAGTATCAGTAAATCTTGATATAAGATAATCAAAAAAATTTACTACTCACTAGTTCTTATAACAATAATGGAGATTCTGAAAGTATTTTTAAACCAATACAGAACCACATAATGCTAATAGTTATATGATATCAGAATGGTTATATTAATAAAAAGAGGATGACTGGTGTTAACAAAGTAAAAGATCAAAGCAGAAAGAAGGAACCAATAGTACAAAGATCAGAACAAAAAGAGGGAACTGACATTAACAAAGCCACTTATAAGAGTGGGACTGATGTTAATAAGGTAAAGATCAGGGCACTTATAAGAGGAAACTGACATTAACAAAGATCAGGGCACTTAATCGTATTTCTAACAGAAAAAAAAAAAAAAAAATCATGCTTTAATAAATTTTGTAATGTCAAATAATTTAAAAAAGCCCACGTTTTGCTATATTTATAAATTTCAAAAACGAGTTGATTATAAAAAAGTTTTGACTGATTATAAAATTACTTGCTTGGAACTTCCTAGTTTCATAAGAGTTCCTCATGTTATAAAGACAACCCGTGTAGATTTTATCATGTGAATCTCGTGAAAACGGGCAAAAAATTTACTAGATTATGTATGTGTAACGAATTAAATTCTAGAATGATCTACCACATAATAAACCAAATGTGGAAATAATCCTGACTGCACTAACATAAAAATTTAGTATTGACATGAGTACAAGTACAAAAACTTGGCATGGGCATGGGTATAATCATAAAAATTTAGTTAATTATATATTTGGTACTATTCAGCACTTGTACCGAACAAACACTATTTTCTAAAACCAAGAAAAAAATTCCACCTAATATTAACATTGAATTTCTATAATCGATTACCAATTCGGATTATACGTATCAGTATAAGGTTCATTTCTTTTTTGAGCAATAATTATGCATGCCAAAAATCCCAAACTTAAAACAATTGCTAGCCACAAAAGTTAAATGAAAAAATAGATTTGTTCATTGGGCATGGATGAACCCGAGCTAGTTTGGAATTTGGCGTATTGTCTCAAAATAACTCCCGGGGTGTAGGTTAAAAATTTGGCCAGAATTAAGCCTAATTCTGGCCAAAATTTTAACCTACACCCCCGGGGTTATTTCGAGACAATACGGTATACCGATTTTATATAACGATAAGTAGACTATAATTTATAATTTTAGCCATATAAGACATTCATCATATAAAACATATTTATATATATTCTATATATATAAACATTTTTTTCGTAAAATTAAAATGTGATTGTAAGTCAAGTAAATTTCGAATTTTCTTTTGTTGCGATTTACTCTGGTTGTCGAAATCCATCAAAATGGGCTTGCATTATTAAATTTGCTATAAAATAATAGTTTGCTAGTACTATTGCTTGATGCCGGCCCAGCTCATATGAATTCCGACCCAAAATTTTGATCTATTTGGTTGCGCGCTAATCTACCCTAGTAAGACTGCTAGTGTAATATACATATCCGTCAAGTGAATTTTGACTCATCTAAATTTCTGACATTGCAATGAACACTATGCTAAACACTATGTTAAACACATATAAGTTTTATAAGAATTTATAATACATCTATTTGGTTAGGTGCTAAGAAAGAGGACGAAATTGACAATTTTTTTTTTTTAAAAAAAAAATTTTGAGCTTAACTAATCCGAAATAGTCTAGAAGCAATTTTCACTTAAAGAACAAATGCTGTTATCTTAATAAAATTTTGCAGTATAATTCTTTACAGTTTTTATTTTCTTATTATAGTATTTATAATATAAAAATCAATTTTCTGCAACCCTTTTTATCAATTTCCCCATTTCTTAATGTTTTTATTTCAAAAAAATTTTTGCCATCAGAAATTATGTCTTGACTTCCCTTACGTAGTTGCCTAAAATAAAATAAAATTAATTTCGTTAATGAATATGAAACGATATAAAAGGCTGTTTATTATTCCCCGAAAGACAAACACTTCTTTAATAAGTATAAAGTTAAGCAGATAAATTCACTCACCAGGAAATTCACCTACGGCGCCACGTAATCTACCCACCCACCAATCATTAGGCCCATCTCCTCTCTCAAGTACTTCAATAACATCACCTGCTTTAAAACTTAAATCATTTGCCTCTTTTCCCACATAATCAAACATTGCTATGACAGTCGTTACAACTTTTCCTGGTATGTGTCTTCTTCGATACAATATGATGCCAACAGCTGCCGATGCGCTAACAAAAATAATGGAGCCTAATATACCACCCACTATTGCACCTGTATTGGGCGGAGATGATGTGGATGCGGGCGAAGGTGAAGAGATACCTGTAGTTCCACTTTTTCCAGATGGACTTGGTGGAATTCCCAAAATAAAGTTCGTCAATTGTAAGTTTTTCGAATCTTTGGTGATGTCTGCAATCGCAATTCCGAATAAATTATTATTTTTTATATAGTCGAGTTTTGCATTTAACGATTGATAATCTTCATAGAAAGCAACATAGGTTCTTGAAGACGGATTAGTCGGATTAGACTGATTAGACTGATTAGACGAATTTTGTCGGTAAAGATATGGTTGTTTCTCACTATTAACAAAGCCGTAAATCCATGGTGAAGATGAACTTAAATTTGTAGGACAAGATGATGGTGATAATAAACTACTTAAATTTTCCCATGACAAATATGCATATGATGATGATTTACACAGATCTGGGATCTGTTCATTAGCAAAAGGGAAATTAAAATTTGGGTCATTCACTGGTCGAAGTTTTTGATTCTCAATGTCCGATTTAATACTATTACTATCATCAGAAACAACTTCAACAATGCCACCGAATTCAACGCCTAACACGAGTTTTGAATAATTTACAAAACTATTCCAAGAACTCAAAATTTGTGAAATTTTGTTTATTCCAGCACTTGTAGTTGTGTCATTTATATTTAAACGAAATGCCTAAGATTTGTAAATAGATAAATAGATATTTATAACGTCACTCTTACGTAAACAAAAGGTAAAATTTACCTGAATATTTACAAAATCAATGATATCATAGGTCATATTTATAGGATATTGGCCTGCTGTAATCGTTAAATTCTTACCACCTAATTGCGTTGATATTGCATTTAGGAAATTTGAAAAAACAGAACTAAATTCCAATTGATTACTGCATGGAAGTTTATAAGGATAATCAATATCAATCTACAAGTTAGTATATATAGAAATTAATTATTATTTAATAAATGGTTGCTGCCAAGAGAAAACCAGCAATCCTTGAGTTTCAGATATTTTATTTCACAGAATCAGGCTTACCGAACTTTGACAATTCTAATATAATGATATCGACTCAAGTATCGATGTTAATATGATGAAATAGTGCAATCATTCGGAGCAAGTATTGCTGGTTTTCGTTTGGTGCAACATCCAATAACACGTAGATAATATAAAATAAATGAGTTTAATCTTACTCCGTCAAAACCATTAGCAGTAACAATACTAATTAAGTCACTAACGAATCTCGAATTTTGATTGTTATTCGAATCATATTCCAAATTCCTTGGATTAGCATTAAAGAAACTAATTAAATTATTCCTATTAGAAGGTAGTGGGACTGATAGAATCATCTATAACATAACGATTCATTACACATTACTATTAACGTTTAATAAGTCTTTTTAATGTAAATCTAATATTTATTACCTTAAATTGTAGATTATTTTTTGACTTATAATTTAACAATTCATTAAATTTGGAAGCTTGTCTGCTAAATATAGATGACGGGTTACCACCATTTCTGCTATTATTAACAAGGTCATTTTGGCCAAATGCTAAATAAATATTAAAATAACTTATTTAATTTAATTGTAATTAATAGATTTAACACGTTAAGTTTTAATTTCTCATACCAATAAAGTTTAAGTAATCAATTGATGGACTAATAGTAAAATCTACCCCCGGTGTTAAATTAAGTTTATAAGCGGGATAATATCCAATAAGTTTATTTGGTTTAGCCGGTGATAGGTGGCATGAATCCTGACTTAATGCCTTTTTTTTCAATATTAATATGAAAAAGACGTATAAAAAAAGTACCGCGAACTTATAAAATGGTAAAATAAAACAAACTTTCATGTTTATTATAATGTCATAAAAGTTTTTAAGTATAGAGTTAACAAAGAATAAAACATGAATATATGGGATAGTATACACAAACAATTTAGTATTAATACGTATTAGTTGTTTTCTTAAAAAAAAGCCTTAAAAAAAAGTATAAATGATTATAAGATTGTCCTATATAAATGTTTATTTCTTGCTTTCGGACGAAATTTCCGTTATGCAATGCCAATAGGAAATTTATATTTAGTACGACCTTTATTCTATAATGAGAGATGCTGGTGAATTTAATTTCACCAATTTCACCTGGTAAATTATTTCATCAGAATCTTTAGTTGCAATCTTTACCATAAATAGGTGTTCCCCTGGAGTGGGACGGGTTTATTTAATTTGTGCTGGTAATACAAACCCAAAAAGGAAGCTTGGTAGAAATTTAAAGTTAGGGGTTAGTATTAAGGAACATAAGAATAAATGGACTTTTATTTAATTAATGGTGGCATCTGTCTATAATTCAGATAAAACGGAATTTATCCGTATCCGTTTATCCAGCAAATCATCTTCAGACCTATAACTTTCCGGAATGTGTAAACTCTAGCGTTACTAGTCTAAAAAGCTTTCGCTATCAGCGTTAGGGTTTGGATATTTTTGTCTTGACTTTATACGTATTACACCTGATCTTGGACCAGACAACGAAATTTTCTAGGTTGGTGACGCTAGAGTGATTTCGGAATGCGTTCAAAAAAAAAAGGATATAATTCAGGACAAACCAACCAAATAAATACTTACTGCGAATTGTAAATCATAAAACCTTGAATTAAACTGATTTTGGTGGTGTAACTTTTTTGTAGTGACCGATACGTCAAAAGCTACAACTGACGTTTGTCGTAATTTTAGATATGCCGTAACGTTTGAATTTTGTCGTAGCGTTTGACTTATGCCGTAACTTCAGACGTATGTCACGATATTCGAGGATACCGGTCATCGTCATAGTGAAGTTTCGATATGAAAAAGTATCAAATCTATCTATTTTAAACTCTTTCGAAGTAGGCCTTCAATATGATGAAACGGGTCACTTCATGAAACAAGTGTGGTCTATAAATAGGTTCTTTATTATATAAAGTAAATTCTCTAATATACATTAACGTTTAAAGCTTTAAATTTCTTTCAATGCAAATAAATTATTACATTAAATATTACATTAAATACAGTAATTATTTAATTTCTAATTCACCACTTAATCACCACTTAAAACAGTGTTGACAAGATCCTCAATACTAGAATCTGCAATGTCGGTGGTAGAAAATTTAAATGGTCTGTCTTGAATCTTCTAAAATTATATAGCTTTCTTCATATGCATTATCATTATTTCTGGATTTACTCTGGATTCACTCTTTCACGCCTGATAAATTTATAAGATATTGGGCTTGTAATGGTTATTAGTAAAATTTTACGAGAAACGTTTTTAATTAGGCCGCAGAAGATGGTTTCCTAGCTGCCGCACAAAAATGCGCGACAAAAAAAGAATTAGGCCAAATTTACGCAGCGCTCATTAACGTTAAGTGAAAAATGTTCCTAAGCCAATTTTACCATGAAGTTGGCTAGAGTTGTGACCCGAAACCGAAACCTTTTCCGAAACTCTAATACTATACTGAAAGGCTTAGAGAATTAATTTTAGACTTTAATACATAAATTACTATCGATAAGACTTTTACTACAAATAACCGGTGGTGATCATCACCACTTCTATTTTTAAGATCAGGGTACAATTTTATGATAAGGCGAGCAGATATAAAGGTTCAAATTTCAGGGTTTTGGAATTTTTACTTGTTAATATATCTGACCCTCGGTTCTTAGTCCCGTTTTTGAGATACTGCACCCCAGTGATGATCACCACCGGTTATGGTTGGTAAAATTCTATAAATAAAATAACTTCTATATTTTAATTATCTTATTTTTAGTTCTAATCTTAAAAGTTGATAGGCTATGTAATATACAAAATGTTTAGAAATATATATTCTTAAGGTAGTTGCTATCTTGTAGCCACTTAGCATACTCCAATTACATATAATTAAGATTTATAATTACATGAGGGCATGCCCTGGGTCCAACCCTATACTAGTGCTTGATGCCGGTCCAGCTCAGATGAATCCAGACCCTAAATTTTGATCAATTTGCTAATTCTGGTTGCGCCTTGACTACTTTAACAAGACTTATTATAATATACGTATCCATCAAGTAATTCTTAAACTTATCTAAATTTCTGAAATTGAAATGAATCTCACAGTATTATGTTAGATATGTTTTATAAGAATTATATACATATATATTTTAAATATTTTTATTTCAAAAAATTTAAAAATTATGTCTTGACTTCCCTTACATAGTTACCTAAATAAAATAAAATTTCGTTAATGAAAATGAAAATGATATAAAAAACTGTTATTATCCGATTTTATACTCGACTCTTAATAGGTAAACAGATAAATTCACTCACCAGGAAATTCACCTACAGCACCATGTAATCTACCCACCCACCAATCATTAGGCCCATCTCCTCTCTCAAGTACTTCAATAACATCACCTGCTTTAAAACTT